TATTATTCTAACCACGGTATGTGGTAAAGAAGGGATCAGTTTTACCTTAAGAAATAACAGCTTTGTCTTGGGTGCATAAGACTTATTCCTTCCAGGGCATATCAAATGCTTACCTTTTTTTTGAGCATGCATTAAATCAGCTGTTCAGTCAACCTGGTTTTATTTTCCTTAAACTTAGAATATCGCAGGAATTGTAAGTGTGTCTGTTTGAATAGCTGCATTCAATTCAGATAGTTAACAAATTTGTCTGCGTTAGGAAGTCGGTGGGTTTAGGTTTCTCAACAGCAGAATAGCCGAGGCAGTCAGGCAGAAGGTGACGCGGAAGCAGTGTTGTCATTGCAGTAGTCCAGTATGTCTAGCCAGTCACCTGGATACTCTGAGAAGCAGGTAGGGTGAGGAGTATGATGGGCTGTACTGCAGGCCACGGAGCTCTATTCGTTTTGCTGTTCACTGGACCAAAGCTTGAGCATCTCAAGTTTGGCCCCTGGACAAGTCTGGTGCATGGGTGTTACTAAGTAAGGAAGCTTCACAAAAATCTATAGCCGACCTTAATTCAACTTTCCCAGCTCACTCACTAACTTGAAGTGCCTTGGAGGCCCCAGGTAGTCTCCAGTGCTTCTGTCAGAGCTTTTTGGGACTGCAGCTGGAACCAGGAGAACTGAAATGTGGGAGTGCCTGCTCGAGGCAGGGCAGCAGTGCTGTTAACAGAGGTGCAGACCTGCCTGCTGGGGCTGCACTGTGGCGTCCTGCTGGGCTGTGATTCACAGCTGCTGTTTTCCCAGCGCTGCCTAGGAGCGGATACTGATTTGAGGAAAACAGTGCTGCTTGTCTAAACTAGCCCTGATAGTCAGCTTGTTACATGGTGGGAATTTGTGTGGGCAGTGGGAAAAGGAGCAGTGGTATGTCCCTTGGAATGCATTGTCTGCACACTTGAAAGAAAGTGCAGAAATACTCAACTCCCAAATGTGTCTGTAAAAATGGATTATTTTGGAAGTAGGGAGCTATTTCTGCCTTGGTTTTGAGAATGCTGAGAGGGTGAGCTTAGAGGCAACATCTGTCAACTTCTCTTCTGGATGGAGCTGTGTCTCAGGTGTGTTCATGACCAAGACTGATAAAAAAAAAATCAAGTGGCCAAATTTTGTGTACTTTTAAAGGTTTTGCTCTCATGTATTACATAAAAGTCTTTGTAACTTCAAGAATTAGTGTTCTCCACACAAAAGTCAGTTATGTCTTGTGTATGCTTTTAGCGTGCCACTCATAAGTGTGCCTGCAGCACGGTGTACTGACTGAGAGAAGGCAGTGCCTCTGTGGGGAGAGGACTGCTGTCTGTGTGGGGAGGAAGGTGGTTTGGAGAGTTTATACAAGTGCCTGAAATTATCCCAGTAGGATGTCAATGAACATGCAGAGTTACAGGCAGCGTAGCAGTACACCACAAGAGAAGTTGAGCAGCTGGATGTAAGAGGGGCATCCTAGCAGTGTGTGGGGATCACAGAAGGAATCTGAGAGCCAGGAATGCCTGTGTTTGTCATATGTTGCACAAAGATGTGATCAAAACTGAGCTGCAAGGAATGGCTCTTGGCATGGGTTCTAGTCCTTTGCAGGGTTTCTTTTTAGGTGTCCTGTGCTATGGACACTGGCTTCTTTTGTGTCTGAGTACCTCATAAAGCTATAGAGGTCAGAGTTCCCTTTGTTTCCCAGTAAAGAGCATGCACTAGAAACACTTTTTGAGACCCTAGGCATTCTTTCATTATGGACTTGCAGGAAGGTTTTTTTTCTTTTAGTTGCTGGGGTCCTATTTGAAGGACATTGATGCTCCAGTTGGTCTTATTCTGTATTTTGGGTGGATCTGTAGTCCATGAAGTGATTCACTCCAGTGCATTGGGCTTGCAAACTACGGTGCTTGGAAGGCTATGCGGTTCTAGAGGTGGGTCATCTCTGGAGCAGGGTAGCTCTGGCTGCAGGCCAGCCTGATCTTGGGAAATCTGACTCTGGAATTAAGAGGGAGGAGACATACACACATGGTCCAGGCGTCAAGTGATGCAGAGTGAGTTAGTGAAAATATTGCTAAAGGTAGAACTTGATTCAGAAAACAGTTGAATACACTGAAATTTATATATATAAATATAATAAATGAATAAATATATAGCCAAGGATTCACTACTTAACAGAATAAATAGCAAAGGGATGCACTACTTAGAGGAACAACATTTGGTGCTTCTCTATGTTTTAAAAAAATTATATTATTTTAAAAAGAGGTTATTGTCTGTATATTTAAAGTAATGCATAACTTTATTTAGAATACTTGTTGATGTTATTCTAGACTGTCTCTACAAAATGGCTCGCAATAGTCTGAAAGATGGTAAAGGTGCTGGAAGATTTTTCAGCCTTATTTTGTTCTACCTGAGTAAGTAAATGGGGCACTTGGAATTCAAACAGCTACACTGTTTCCTGGTTGGAGTTTCAGCAATGTGACATGGTGAAGTGTAAATCGAATGTTGAGGCCTGTGAAATTAGTCAAGGTTGACCTTAAATACGCATAGGGAAAAAACAGACAAGTGGCTTATGTAGAATGTCATTAAAAACAAACAAACAAAACCCAGCCCAGGAAAGAAAGGCAGAACGTTGCCGGTTAGTTGATAATAAGGTCCCCAAAGGGAATAGTTAAGTTGACAGAAATGACGGTTCGAGGGAGTAAGTTAAGAAGTGTGAACTCTGTAAAGAGATTTTAATTCTGCTAGGTATCTACTCGCTTATATAACTTCAGATGCTATTTTATATGTATTTTTTCTTTTTAGCAAATATTTCAGAGAAAAGTGCAATGTGACAGAATGTAACTGAGGAGTCAGGGCTCAGAGTTTGATGGAAATGAAGGATGGAAAGAGGTGAAGCTCGTACAGGTCTTTTGTGGTTTAAGCCCAAACAGCAACTGAGCGCCAGGCAGCTCAGTGGGATGGAAGAGAGAATGGGAAGGGGAACAGTGAGAACTCGTAGGTTGAGATTAAGTTCACCTCGTGAGATTTGGCTCAGAGTTGTGCCACTTGGCCCTTGGAGGAAAGCGTTTTTATGGTGGTGATATTTACTGATGGAAAACCAGAGTCCCAGATTTTCTGGCCGAAACCAGGACCGGGTCTGCTTTTACAGCTCCCCAGCGCTCAAGTGTTGGCCGATATCGCCACCTAATGATGAGAGCAGCGCTTGGCTGAGGATTTAGGGGCTTTTCACTACTTTGCACTGATGGTTCTTACGCACTCGTGTCGGCTCGGGTTACGTCAGAACTGTTGTCAGGGAAACTTGAGATCTGGCTTTTCCTTCTCGTCCTTCTGCTACTCAGAATTTTAATGCTGTAAAAACTGGTTTAAAAAGCCAGGAAGTGATTGTTATTTTATCATTATGACTCGTATCTGTTACGTGAGTACTGCTTTATGGTTTTGACCAAATATTGGTGCTTAAAAGCAAGTACTTTTATTGTGAGGATAGTTCAAAACCTCTTCCAGTAAAGAAGAGGTAATCTGACATGTTTACCCATGCTGGTGTTAAGGAGCCCTTCTGGATCATTTCATCCCAAGCTGGAGTTCAGCATTAGAGCTTGAGCAAATAAGACTCTGTGTTCTGTGAAATTTTTGGGAGGGCTCTAGGGTAAGGCTGTTGTGCTAAAATTGGCAGTAATTCTGTTTTGACAGCGTAGCATCATATTTGACTAAATGAGGAATTAAGTTTAAAAATAATAAATATTTAATCTTCAAGGGAAATTCCTTAGTAGAGCTTAGCTTCTTGAGTGGAAGTGATTATGTGCTTTTTTGCTCAGGCTCATGAGACTTGCATTAAGTGAGGTGCGTTACACTTGATAAACACCACTTGCAGATGCTATCAGGAGACATGAAACGCGTGCGTTTCAATTGGCTGCCTGATTATTCGAGGAGTTAATCGCTCTAATTCCCATATTTCTGTCCTGACTGTGTATCTGCACTGCTGCCCTGGCTGAACGTTCCCAAGGTGCAGTTGGCATACGATCAGACAGCAGTCACTTAAGGAAGGCATGGATTTACACGAGCTCTCCTGTGAGGTGGATTTCCTAAAACTGTGGAAGGCTCTCTGCATGTGAGCCTTGAGGCAATGGCAGTGTGACCTCCTTGAGGCCTTGAGCAGAAGGCAGGACTAACAGATCACAGAGGAAAAAGGGGAGTGTTGGTTTGTCCTTCGGTTTGCCCGAGCATTTGGAAGTACTTGCTGTTTCACTTGGCTTGTGGGTATAATCCCTGCCCCTGTAATTCTTCTCTATCAGTGAAGAGGATAAAACCCCCTCGTGCTGGGAAGCTGGAAGGTGGGCTCAACTTGTGGCTTACAGTTTAGGCCATGGTATGACTAAACATTCCTGGTGGGACTGGTCATGAGAAGATGCTGAATTGTACTCAGTGTGTTTAGTGTGGTTTAAATAAAAACACTTGTTTTAGAGCTGATTGCTTGCACTGTCTGGGAGTGCAGGGAAGATCTTGAGGCTAACCTGGAAAGTTGCTTGGCTTCTTCAGCATCTCGCAAGACTTTATCTTGTTTTAGTATTTTACTTTGTATGTTTTAAAATGTAGATTTAGGGAATTAATGTTAACCTTTATCAAGTGTTGGGGGATTTAGCAATTTGGAATACCTGGAGAATACCTTCACTTGGTTCAGGGTTTTAGATGACTGAGTACTTCAGGGTTGTTACCTGTATACATAGTTTGCACTGGGCTTTATAAATTGCTTTGAATGTGAAAATGGTTTTCAATAATTTTCATTTAATATTTTGAGAAAACAATAAAATCCTTTTTTTTTTTTTTTTGTCAAGAAGACTTGACTGTAGATTAATGTAGTGCGATAGCAAATCTTTAACTTTTTTAGGTGTTTGTTACTTATCACTTAATGACTGACATAGTCTTTCTTACTCATTCCTTAGCATGTAGTCATGTTGATTACAGAAACTACAAACTCCAGTAGCTTCCTTTGTTTACACTTATGTTTTCCAGGTGGCTTCTCAACGGTGTTCCTGGTGCGCACCCACAGTGGGATACGCTGTGCACTGAAACGGATGTGTGTTAATAATGTGCCGGATCTCAACATATGCAAGAGAGAAATCACAATTATGGTAAGAAGGCTGTTACTTGTAACTGCAGAATGAATCAGCTTGTGGTATACACACACCTAATGCCTCTGCAGTGATAGTTGTTTCTAGGTCCTACTTTGTTTTGACCTTATGGTTCTGATTTGGCACTGTTAGTTTCAGAAAGTAATGCTGTTTAGGTTGGTGTGTCGTTAACTTCTGGAGCAATTATTAAAAATGTATCTGGTATCACAGTCAGTTTGGTCAGTACATCTGGTTGCCAAGCAAAAGACCTTTCTTCCTCTGCTGCAGTGGCAACTGAAATTCTTCCTCTTTTAATTTTTTGGCTAATGAAGTGTAATTTACATTCTCTTTTCCAGAAAGAGTTATCTGGGCACAAGAACATTGTGACCTATTTGGACTGTGCTGTCAACTCAATAAGTGATAATGTTTGGGAGGTGCTCATCCTCATGGAATACTGTCGAGGTAAGAGACAGCTTCTGGGTTTTCAGATAAAATGCAGGGAAGATATTTGTAGCATCACCTGGGATTTTACTTAGAACTGTCAGAACCACTTAACATAAGAGGTGAACACAGATACCTCATGCCTGCAATCCCACCAGTTTGTGACACTTTCCTGTTGGCACTGAGCTGCTGAGCTCCCAGGAAAAGGTAAAAGTCAGTTTGACTTGCCTTTGTAACTGAGCATAATTAGGAATGGGGAACTTAATTCTGTGAGTATGACGGGAAGTCGGTGTGTGTTCTGCTGTCCGTGCTAATCAACATGTAGTTGGAACATATTCTATGGGAAAAATTGCCAAACTTGTCACCACTCTTCTTGCTCTGCTATTTTTGGGTTAGATGATAAGACTGAAGATACTTTACTCTTACCTGCCAGGTGACTTGTTATAAATGAGCATAGCATAGCAAGTGTTGATAATGCCAGCCAAAAGAAAATAGTCCCGTGGTCCCACTTTGTAATGTAACCTTCTTTCAAACAATAGGTAGAAACAAGTAGTTTTTGGATCCTCACTCCTTCACACACATATGCACAGAATGAACTTGTCATTGAGTTTAACTTGCAAAGTTTATCTAAAGTTTAGGGTGATTGGGCACGAGACGGTGTTTAACCCAAATAGGTGAAGATACTGGAACAAGTGCTGCAAGTACAAAGTAAAAACTTTGACCTTAGGAAGAAAAGCCACCCTGTGGTCTGTGGTGCCTGAATACTTTGAGATGAGATGTATGTGTATTATATTTGCAGTAGAAGGGATATTTATTCCAGCTTGTGCCATCTGTACCATAAAGAACCATTTGGAAAAACAGGTTTCTTTTGTTTAAATGAAGTGACTGGAAAACTTTCTTGCATCTCATTTGTGGACTTTGGGCATGTAAGTCTTTACTTTTTTACCTGATAGGAATTACTTGAAAGAAATTTCTTTTGTTGTTTCTTTAGCTGGACAAGTTGTGAACCAGATGAACCAGCGTCTACAGACAGGTTTCACAGAGTCAGAAGTCATGAGAATATTTTGTGACACCTGTGAAGCTGTTGCCCAGTTGCATCAGTGCAAAACGCCCATAGTTCACAGGGACCTGAAGGTATGAACTCCACGAAAATGAAATCTGGGTCAAAATCCATCAGCTACTTGAAAAGGATTGAGGATATAGAAGGTGTTTCAATACCTAAGACTGACTGCTGATTAGGAACTTGCTATGGATGGAGCTGTAAACAGAGAGACTACAGAGGCTGTAAACAGAGACACTAAAATAACTTTTTTGCTGCTGAAACTAAGTCTTTCAATTGATTTTTCTGAAAACTTCCAGTTTGTGTGAGAACATGAAGTAACACTTGGAAATTAATGCTGGTATCTTAACATTTTCTGTGTTGATTTCCTTTCAAGGTGGAAAATCTACTGTTAAATGATAGCGGGAACTACGTTCTCTGTGATTTTGGCAGTGCCACTAACAAATACCTGCATCCGCAAAAGGATGGTGTTAATATGGTTGAAGAAGAAATTAAAAAGTAAGTTTACTTTGAGGAGACCTATCATAAGTGGTGACTGTGCTGCTAGGAAACCCCATGTATTGTGGTGTGGTGTGCATGAACCATTAACATGAATTGAACTTAATGGTTGATCTTGAATTAATTTTGGCATAAATATAGTAAAAGAGTTGAACTATTTAGTAGCACACTTCTTCCATTTGTTCATGGATTGTTTTTCAAATCTGAATCTCTTAAAAAGAAAACTGTTGGAAAAAAGCACGCTGTTTCGAAATTAAACTATTCAAAAGTATATGTCTGGCTACTGGCCATTTTAGGAGTTGGATGTTTTTCATTTGTGCTATTTTAGTACTGCTAAGCAAATACGTGATAAGAGAGCATGAACTGATGTAAATAAGCATTGGAATGGTTTTATGTAGAGTGTCAATTACAGAATACAGTCCATGTTCACTCTCCTAAGACTGAGCAGAAAAATATTTTACCTTCTGTTTGAGGCACACTTGAAATCGTGATTAGTATGGTTTTGCCCCTTTGGGCTAACTACTGCAGAGGAGTAAATACAGGCTGCTCGTTCTCAAGTTTCAAAAGTGGTGGAGATTTTATTCCAGCTCTGAAGTATTTGAGCTACTACTTCAACAGTTGTTTTGAGATGTTAGATTTTTTTTTTGAAGTCTGAATTCTGTGTTTCAGTATGTGATTAGGAAAGCTCTTGTAGTACTCTTGGATTACACCTTATAAATGACTGGCTGCTTATGCACAGTGACTTCTGCAAAAGTACACACTTTTGGGGAAATAACAGTAAAAACAAATTTTAGCTGACTTATTTATTCTTCATTTCATTTTGCTACTTTGAGTATTCTTTGTGATACTTCAAATGCATAAATGGCTCGGATTATGTGAGACAGTTCCAGGCATGTATCTGAAACCTGTGTGTGATTGGTGTGTATGTGGCAGGGGAAACACGCTAGCAGTGCTGAGGCAGTTTTCAGCCATGTCCTCTCTTTATTTTGCATTGCTAGGTACACAACACTGTCATACAGAGCTCCTGAAATGATCAATCTGTATGGAGGAAAGCCAATTACTACAAAGGCAGATATTTGGGTAAGCAAAAAATTATGTAATATGGAATTAATTCATGAGAGGGAATTCAAAGCAGCATTGACTGAAAAATTAATTTTTGGACAATAAAATACATTATGCAACTAAAGAATACAGAATATGGTAGAGATACCTTGGATAGTTAACTCTTCGGTAAGTAAAATGAATGCCATGTTTGATTTTTATTTTGAAGGAAAGGGAATGTGATTTAAAATTTTACTTTTTTTGGGTCAACCCTAGTTGTTGCTTGATAGTCCCCAGGGATTTCTTGTGGGAACCTGTGGCAGCGTGACCAAGAAAGGTGTTTTTATTAGGTGCTGTGCAGTGAAGAAAATCAGCTAAATTGAGTGCAAAGGTAGTGGGGTATCTCCACGTGATGTGACACTGAGAATGCATCTCTTGGTGTGCCCTGATTTGTAGTTTATCTGTATAGGAGTGAGTGGAAAAGCAAGTTGCGTTACTGCTTGATATATCAGCTTGTCACACGAACTGTTTAATAGTGTGGTTTCTACGCAACGTGTAAGCACCAGCTGTAGCCAGGATGCAGTTTGTGTAAAAGGCTTGCTGTTATCTCTTCACAGTGCCTGTGTTTGTCTTTTACAGGCACTTGGCTGCTTGCTGTATAAACTCTGTTTCTTCTCCCTTCCCTTTGGAGAAAGCCAAGTTGCTATATGTGACGGAAGCTTTACCATCCCAGACAGCTCACGGTACTCCCACAACGTTCACTGTTTGATCCGTAAGTATGTGGGCAGCACGGCAGTGCTTTCATCTCCTGGAGCCAGGAAAGCACAGGTGCTGCTCGTGGAGGAGAGTGACCGGGGGGGAGGTACAATCTGAGGGAGCAGTGGCCGTCACTCCTGGCTGCGACCTGCCTTGCCACTCCTGCACGGGCCTTGGAAGGGAGCCTTGCTTGTCCTCTTACTCCATGGAGGACTGTGCCCCAGGGTACAGAGGAGGAGCTGCCTGGAGAGGGATTTCAGAAGCCTAGAGCAAGCTACTTAAAAAGGCACTGAAAGGGAGCCAGGGGAATGAGTATGAGCAAGTCTTTCTCCTGGGCAGTTGATGTGACATTTAATGGATGGTCTTCCCAATTTTGCAGGATATATGCTTGAACCAGACCAGGAGAAGAGACCTGATATTTTTCAAGTGTCTTACTTTGCCTTCAAAATTGCCAAAAAGGATTGTCCAGTGTCTAATATTAATGTAAGTAGTCTTTTATTTTTTCAGTATTTTCAGTGTATTATGTAGGTAGCATTGAGAAAAGTCTATCAGATTGGCTGAGAGATCAATTCAATCGTTAACCTGGTTTCTAAATGTAAAACGTAGCAGAGAACACCTCAAACCGCTATTGTGTACATGTAGTATGAGCTTGGAACAAAAAGTCTTCTTAATTTTGAGGGTGTAGCTTCATGAACTCCATTGATGCTGCATCATGCAAATGACTTTTAGTCATGAGTAATCTCTTCCTTTAATACAGTGAGTATGAAATCTACTGCGGAACTTAAACTCGTTGACAACAGGGGGTTTCATGTTGTAACTGTAGTGTCAGGAGCATTTGTTTGCTGTGGACAACCCCTTTTTCTCAATCATCCTTAGCAAATGTGTTAGTCCCTTGGAAGGACTCCAGCGAACTGGAAGGCAAATAGAGCCGTGCCTGGGCTAGCCTGTATTCCTGCCCTTGCTTTCCAGGGGAGTTTGACCTTTGCAAGTGTGAACTTTTTCTCTAAGGTCACCCCCTTCACAAATGTAGTTACTCTGTGATGGAATTTGAAGGCACATCACTAATGTTGATTATTATAAAGTGGTTCTTAAGACAAGCATCAGGAAAAATCCATCTCAGATTTGAGTTTGCAACAGTCAATTATAGTGAGCTCTGCCTTCAGGGGCAGACAAGTGAACTTTCTAAGATCCCTTAGAGTTCCTTTATCCTTGTAAAAGGAGGTGCTCAGTAAATGTGAATGTTGCCCTTTGGATACACAGGTTAAAATAATAAGAAGAAAATCTTGAAATGCTTGATAAGTAACTGTCTCTACAGTTTGTGACTAGATTTTTTAGATTTGCATTCTGTACAGGCATTTGTCATTAGAGATGATCTTTGGACTGTCTCCCCCAGAATTGCCATTTTCCTTGGTAAAATATGATTTAGGTGATAGGTGATTCACTCAGGAGTTCGTTTGAGAAGGGGGTAAGTTAAAGGCCCAGGGAAGCTTGGATGCTGAATGGTTTTCTGGTATTTGTGTTGTGGTGGTAGAGCTAAGTGGGCTAAAAACAGTTTCCTCCAAAGACTGGGCTTTGATTTTAGTTCTTCAGCTTGAGGCTGAAGTAAGTCTGGTCTGTGCAGTCACACGAAAATGTTTGAAGAAAATGTTGCACTTTGTTGATAGTTGGCAGTGTGTAAATGAAGTGAAGTAGTTGACAAAATAGACCAGTCACATTCTGGTTTTATTTTCTGCAATAGATGAGACAGTGTAGAGGTACCGTTAAATTAAAACCCATTTCATCTACAGCTGTGAGCTGAGCATGAAGCCTTGTAACATGAAGGTCTTAAACCCAAGTATTCCTCTTCAGTATGTAATGATTTTTTCTTTCAGAATTGAATTTTTTTAATTTATTCAAATTTGTTTTTCCCAAGAATTCTCCTGTCCCTTCAACTCTCCCTGAACCCATGACAGCTAGTGAGGCAGCTGCTAGAAAAAGCCAAATAAAAGCAAGGTGAGCAGAGGATGTGAAATCACTTTCTTTTTTTTTTTTTTTTTTTTTGCTAAGATTGTTAAGCTACAAGTTGGTCTGAAACCTGTCTTCAAATGCTTGTTAATAAATGAAATATTACCTTAATAGAAGTCACTAGGTAAACTGCAATTATAAGAGCTTCAAGTCTCTCCTTGAATTCCACTCCTTTGCTTTTTCCATTACATTGAGAATCCTGTGAGGAAAAACTGAGAGCCTGGTTAATGAAGGTAAATGGATTTTGTTGGGTTTCACTTCTGGTTGTTTTGTGGTGTTTTTTTTCAAAAGTTTTAATTTTATACCAAAGTAGTCCCTTTTGTCCTTGTTAGTAAAAACAAACCTAAAACCTTGGAACTTTCTATTCATGCTTTTGATTTCTGCTATGGTACAGTGTGTACTTAATGATTCCTTTATCCTTTTATTTCTTGTTAATGGAAGTTGTTAGGTTTTGAATCTATAAGCATGTGTGACTGGGGTACTTTTATATTCAGCTACAATTACCAAAAGCTATTTACAAAAAGTAGAAATGAAAACATAAGAAATTAGTAAAAGTAGAAATGAGTTAACAGATGAGATTTTCCTTTATCTTATTTCTTGTCTGTATGAACAATAAATGTGTTTCTAGTCCGGACTTGACTTCCACTCACTACTGAGTGGGAAGATTATTCTGAGAGGAGATTATTCAAGGGGATACCATCTAGTGTCATGGTCTCCTTGGGGAAAAAGGCTGCAGCATGGCTCCTTCTTAATGGTGTTCTGCATTAGTCATATCCTAGAGCTGCCAGGGGTGGTGAGTTTTAGGAAGCAAACTTAAGGTACTGAAGTGCAATGCAGAAGTAGAGTAACTCATGGTTAAGACAAAATTGAGCTATTAAGAGATGTACTGTGTCTAATTTGAAGGAAAAATAGTTGTCTTTTTATCAAGTATCTTACATGGGAAAATTTTTCCCCTTCCAGAATAACAGATACTGTTGGACCAACAGAAACCTCAATTGCACCACGGCAAAGACCAAAGGCCAGTTCAAGCACTGCCACTTCCAGTGTGCTGGCAATCCAGAGCTCAGCAACTCCTGTCAAAGTACAAGTTCCTGGGGAGTTTGGTAATCGTGGGCAAAAAGGTAACTTCAGGGAGTCGAAGGATGGACCAAAATATATGAAGAATGAATTTCACATTTCTTTGTCTCCTTGATCTAATAGGCATAGCATTTATAACTCAAATTCATCTGCCTTTCCTTACATACCAGAAATCAAATCTTCATCCTTTCCAAAAGACTTGAAATGTGTGAGTCATAAGTTTGGCCAGGTGCCACGAAAACTAAATCCACATTATTGAGAAGCTAAAGTGTGTTTCTATTATGCTTAACACTGGTGTTTGATGAGCTTTCTCCCTGTGAGTTCATGGCCGCTTTTGACTTGAAATTAAGTCACCAAAAGTAGGAAACTCTTCTCTAACAAACTCCTTTTGTTGTATTAGGAAAAATATTCTCCTGTGCCTCAATAAGTCATGAGATATCAACATTATGTTGGTGGTATTTGTAGGCTGAAACCACGTAAAAATATCACCTCTCTAAGGACTGACAGATTGATTTCACATTGCACTGAGTACAACAGGGGGGAGTCACTGGAGGAGACACAACTGAGTGAAATGGGTTTTGAAGAAATCGTTTATGGATTCTTCTTTCTTATTCAAAAAGGGTTATGGCTCTGATAAATATTCACTTAAATAGGTGTCAGTTTTATCTTGAACACTTTCTAATTGCGCTTTGTGCTGTTTTGTGTCCATTACAGTACAGGAAGGGTGGCTTCAGGCCTGGTATTGGGAAAGTGTCAAAAGGCCACTGAGAATGTTTGTTTGTGTCCCAGGTGTAAACAATTTTTACTAGATGTGATCTAAGTAGCATCCAACTTGGAAGACGTTTCCTGTTCTGACAAGGAACAGATCATTCCTGGGCACTTCAGAATATAAACACAGCACGCAAGAGATTGATTTATGGTAGTAACTGTTTACTTAAGTGACTGCAAAAACCATTGAATGGCCAAAGCAATCAGGTGTTCAGTTTAGTGGAGCTTGACAGGTGAGCCAGTAGTTCTCTTAAAGAAAAAAATGTGTTGTTTTGTATGCACGCAAAGCTGTACACTTTGAGGGTAAGGGTTTGAGGTACTGCAGCATGTAACTTCAGCATTAATAAAGCAGAAGTCTGGAACCCAGCTTGCTGTGGTGAGACCAGAGGAAGCTTCCAGTATCTTCCAAGTAGAAATGGTTCATTTGCAGGCCTGGAAGTATTTTTGATCTGGGGATCTAGCAGCTGTCCTAGTTGTCAGACTGGGAAGGGAAGCTCACGGACTGTGTCATCTTGAAGTGTTCAGTGAAGAGGTAGCTGCCAGGGAGAGCTCTGGCTGGAGTTGGGAGGTGGGGATGTCAGTACCGTTGTCTGACACACAGGAACCACGCGACCAGGGAACGGCCACGACCTCTCTCAGTGCCAAGGGCCCGCCCCGCACGCCCCGCAGCAGCACCGGGTCCTGCAGCAGCTGCAGCAGGGAGACTGGAGGCTGCAGCAGCTGCACCACCTGCACCACCAGCAGCACCAGCCCACCGTGCAGGACACTTACATTCAGCAGGTACGGTCACGTCTGTTGGACGCGTGTGACAGACACTTTATGCTTACTGGTGTAATGCACTGGGAATCGTGTGCTGCTTAGACATTTCTTCTGTTGCTGACTGTGGTTTTTCCCCCTGGAAGAGCTCCTGTCCCTTCGTACGCTAGCTTTGGCCCCTCATAGGCCCTGTAATGTTGATCCTAGAAGGTTGCTTGCTTTGTGCTGTTTTGTTTCTGCAGTTTGACCCTGAATTCCAGCTTGCTTTGCATCACCACCGTGTGGCTGATATGAAGACTATTTGTAAGGGTGCTTGGGGGAAATATTAGGAGTTACCTAGGTGATTATGCTGTGCTTGCAGAAGATGATTGTACATGGACCAGTGTTGAATATGTAATGTAATTTTTTGTTAAAAATGGGGAGGTGGGAAGGAAAAAAAACCTCCAAACACAGAATGATTAAAATGCAGTGACTGAATTTCCAGTTGGTTATGTGGTATCTAAACTGAAAAATGCTGTGGAATCAATAGTGATATTTTAATTGATGCTTCTTTTGAATGTCTGGCTACTTCTGAAGGGGGATCGTGACTTCTCAAAGCTGTTTTTTCCTTCTCATCTCCAGTATCAGCAAGCAGTGCACCAGCAGATGGTCCAGCAGCAGCTGTTGCTTCAGTCTGTGTATCAGCAGCAGCCTGCCCAGTCACAGTATCCTGTCATGGTATGTCATTAGTGGAACAGAGGGTACAGTCTGAAAATATGGGCTGTATTTGTAAGTCTTGTGTAGATGAAGTGAGAGAAGTGTGTGAGTAGTTATAATGAGCTGTGGATGTGGTAAATAGTATGAAGATGAGGATCTGAAATGGTATTCAACTGGGGGAAGTTACCCAAACTCCGAGTCTGGAGTTGTAGTTGTGTAATAATTGGATGGGATATATTTCTAACTTTGTAAGTAGGTATATGCTAATTTTAAACACAATTGGTGCTTAAGGTTTGCAGCAGTGACCGCAGCAACAATTGTGTTATACTGTGATGTGACAGATGACACAGTGATATGAAACTCTTAACTGAAAAGCAAGAGGAGCTAACTGGAATATCCTGGTTTTTAAAAAATGGGAGAAATTGTCCCGAAATCGTGATCACTAATTAAGAGTTAGGCATGCTGTGCTAAGCAGTAGCATATACCAAAGGTGCAGTAATTATAAAAAGCTTAGTGGTAATATGCTGGAAAAGAGAAGCAGTATCACTGACCTGTTGGAGCAGTTTCTTTGCACCCATGTGTTCTGGAGTGTGGTGGTGGGTGGGTGGTTGGCTGCAAGACCAGTACTGTGAGTGGGCAGAAGAGATTGACCCGGCCCATGTGTGCTTTGGTAACACAACCCTGATGCCCCCAGGTGCAGCAGTATCAGCAGGCTCTCCTGCAGCAGCAGATGCTGGCCCAGCAGCGGTCACAGCAGGCACAGTCCCCTGAATACATCACTTCTCCACAAGAGTTTGCACCAGCCTTAATCTCCTACCCTGGTTCACTCCCAGTGCATGCTGGAACACTGGCAGATCCTCCCTATCCTACAAGCAGGTGAGTGTTCTGGATGGGGTGTGCTCAGGGGTTTCTTGTGGCTTACATTAGTAATTGTGATTAGCACTGCTTAATAAAGGGTAATAAGTAATGACTTTCCCATGAATTCTTATGAACAATAGTGTGTGGAATAAAACCCCCGTTCCTTTCTGATATAAAAATAAAGAAAAGCCCAGATTTGTCCAGTTTCACTGTTATGAACTGGGTTCTATGTTCCTACTAGACTTCCCTTAAGGTAGCTTTCAGGTGCTTTTGGGATGAGGTGTTAATGGATATGTGTTCCTTGTGTGTAGTGTTTTGGTGTAATGAAGCATGTCTCAGATTTTGACCCTATAAATAATCCTGTTGATGTTTCTTAATTTGCTTCCTTGAACTGACTTTACAGGTCAGGTATTCCTGATGCTGAAGCTATTGCCAGTTACCCAAAGCAGAGCATCAGTAACCCACCTGACATGTCAGGCTGGAACCCATTTGGAGAGGACAATTTTTCCAAGTTGACAGAGGAGGAGCTGCTGGACAGAGAGTTTGACCTGCTGAGATCAAGTAAGGGACGCTTGAAGGCTTACTTTGCTTCCCAGTAAATGAGGGCTCTGTAGATGCTCAGCAGTTCAACACCTGCTTGTCCAAGGGCCGTGCGGGCTGTGTACAGAACCTTCTTTCTGAGCATTTGAGGGCACAGTTGGGCCTGTCTTCTTCCTTTCCTTTTCCTTTCTGGAAATGTGTGCAATAGGAACTCACCGTCCAAAACTGGTAGTTACTGGCTCAGTTACTGCAGAAATGGTACTGTCGTAGCTCTTCAATGCTGCTTGTGTCACCTTCACTGTCAAGAGGCTCTCAACAGCAGAGCTTTGTTGTCAGATGGGAAGAGAAGTTTGGCTGCTTGCTTTATTCCTTTCCAGCTTTTTTCTTGCACACCAGAGCAGAAGATTGTGTGGGTCTGATATGTCCTTTGAAAATGCCTGAAAGAAAATTGATCTATTACATTATGTTAATGTTTTGTAATGTCCTTTCTGATGAGTGGCTAAATGTAAGGGCTGCTTTATTGTTCTGATATGGCAATAGTTGAATAAACTTTTTTCTCTTCAAGTCAGTTACCTCCATGGTTTTTACTTGGAAGTACTTCCTCTTCTTAATTGCTTAACACATGCTTGTTAGATGCTTTTCCTATAACTGGTTTTGTTGAGATCAGATTTATCAGTGGGACTTGGAAGACGTGACAATATCAAAAAACAGCTTGTGCATGCTTGGCTCTCTATAAGCAAGTTCCTTGCAATTAAAAGTGCAGTAAAGTTGAATTTCGAGTAATTAAAAAGCACTTCTGCCTTTAGCTTGGTCTTTCTTCTTGGATTCCTGTGTCCTTGAATGTAATTGAACAAGATGTGCACACTACCTGTTAATCCCTAAGGAAAATAACTGAGTGGGTTTGTTTGTGAAACTCCAGTTGATAGTTTTTGATTATGTTGATCAATTAAGACGTACTTTTGAGATATGAAAGTAGCCTGCACACATTTCACAGTACAATTACTTAGTGCTAGCTGGGAAAAATGGCTAATGTACCAGCTTAAAAATGAGTATACCTTCCAAATCCAAGTTAAGGATTTGATTCAGTAGTGGAATTGAATATCTTTAAGCATGCTGCTTCCAAATGAGGCCTTAAGTCGTTTGAAATAATCCACTCTTGAATCCAGAGCAGGTGAGTTTGTAGCAAGTGGTCAGTACATTACCCACTGTCAGAATCTGTAACTGTTGGACTGGTGATGGTAGTTATGGTAAGTTTGAGATGGGTTTGGTTAACCCACAAGTTCTGCACAAATGTAAGTGCCAAAGACCACATTAACCGAGGCATGTTTGGGGCTCACCTCTTCAGGGTAATTCAGCGCACAGGAGAGCTGGCTGTGGTAACACTTCATACACTGTATCCGAAAGGTCAGCAGCATCCTTCAGCTTCAGAGCAACCAGCATTAGGTTCATGAGTCGCTTGAATACAGCACTTGTCAAAATGAAAAGCCATGACTGCTTTGAGCAGCAGTACATTAGATGGCAGGCTTGTTTGTACGGGGTGGGCTGCACTTAGAGCTGTTCTGAGGCCTTGGGGCTTGGTGTCTGTTCAAGGCACAGAGCAGGGACAGCACTGATAGTTTGTACCTGTGTGTGTTTGTACGTGTAGATACACACATCACAGCCTTCAAAGACCTCCTAACTTGGATTTTTTGATATTAAGGTTGTTTGCATTGTGGTATCATTGTGAGCACAACAACCTTAATATGAGCTTATCTCAGTGTTAATGCCTTTGCTGCAGCCAAAGCAGAAATATATAGACTTTGTCGACTGCTACTTTCTCAACCTTAGCTGGAATAATGAGAAATTGGGAGATGGATTCTCCAGTTGAGGCTTGGACCTATAAAATTGTCTGTAACTGTATAATACTTTCTGGAATTTCCTCAGGTATATAATTAAGATTCAAAGGTGAGCTCTTTTTAGGTGTAGGTTACCTCTTTTGAGAGAAAAAGGCTGTTGTCTACTAAGTAATTTTTTTACCATTTAGAGAAAGAAGTGCAGATACAGGTCTGATAAATGGCTGTATTTTTCTGTTACTAAACCAAATTGCTGTCCCAGACTTTACAACTCTCATATTGTTATGTAAGTTTGTCTTTTTGCCATGTTATGTGGTGCTGAGTAGCAATCAAACCATAAATCCTTTCTTTCCCCTTTCAGAAACCTACTTTGTATTGTTGAGCTGATACTTCACACATAAATTCAAGATATTTTTTAATCTGTCCAATACTTTTAAAGCTGATGTGCTCCTGACAGTAACACATGAGGAATTAAATATACACAGCCTTTGTTAGAGGATCAGGATGTTTTCACACTTTGTCAGGCTGATATTACTGTTGGATTTCACGGGTTGAGTGGCTTAATGTCAGTGTGTGCAGTGATGGGGGTATTGCTGGGATGATTCATCGCTTCTGTAAATGAGATCTAACTCCCAGATCGTGATACCTTGCTTACACCTGCTGAACGCTTCCCTAGTAGAAAGATGGCAGTTGCAGTTAAGGGGAAGGTGCAGTTGGATGGAGGTGTCTGAACTGAGCGCCTTTGGGATACGGAGTGACAGGTTGGAGCTCTGTGTTCTTGTGTATGCTGCTGTTTCTCTGCTGTTACCATCACTTAGTGATGGGACAGAAGCAACATATGATGCTCAATTTTTGACAGCATTGTGCAGAAGTGGATTTCTCAAACAACTTCTGTAACCCCTTAATAATCTGCAGAGCTGGGAGCCAAGAAGAAGAGTGTGCAGTCTCATTGGGAGGAGAGCAGCCCAGCTTTCACAGAGTCACACAAAGGTCGTCATTAGGTCTGGGATCACCTTGGTGCTCCAATAGAGACAGGTGTGGGTACAGAGTCTTCCAAGTGCTCTGCCTGTCTCCTCTGCAGCCTGCACAGAGCGAAGGAACTGCCTGGGCTTTTACCTTTGTCAAAACCCCCTAATAGTATATTCCTCCTTCACCCCATACAGCACATAGCTTTGCATAGGCATAAGACCTGCCATTTTTATTTTATTTTACTTTATTTTTTGTTCTGTTTCATTTTGTTTTTTACAGACAGGCTGGTGGACAGGAGAGCATCTTCAGATAAGAATGTGGAGCCACATTCTGCTCCACAGAAAAGTCCTCCTGAAGATCCCTTTGGTTCTGTTCCTTTCATTGCTCACCAAGGCAAGTTACACCTGTAACACGATTACCTCGTAGCTGTAGGTGTACATACACGTACGTGTGTGTATGTGTCAGAGTGTGCACAGAGCTTAAATGACCAAAGAGTGGTTGAGGGATCAACTGCCTCCTGAAAGCACTTGGGCTAAAGAGATTTTTTTATTATCTTAATTACCTCCGATGAAAAACCACTTGTGCATCCGGCTCTGGTGCCTGTGTGGTGACACTGTGTGTCCTTGGCAGTGCAGTTCCCCTGGACCGGTGTAGAACCTCAAGTGCTTTTGCTGAAGGCAAATTACTTGCTAAGGCCAAATTTTTTCACTTCCCTGTAGCCTGCTTCTTACTCAGACTGTTTCTGTAGTTAGTTCTCCAGACTGTAAGCTTCTGCTGCATTTAATGCACAGTTTTGGTACAAATTGAGTCAAACCCAGACATATTTTTTTGTTTCTACACAGGGAGAGGAGGGTGGGCATTCATTATTGCCTTTCAGTTCAGCTTTGATCTTATTTACCTTGGATGGAAGTAAAACTAACATGGTATGTGGGCATTGACTATGACTGGGAAACTGCATCATGGTCCAGTTTAATCAACAATTTTCACATTTAGTTGATCAGCACTTTAATATTTATTTTGGTACCTGTGACAAAGTAAAGCCTATGTGATACTTAAATGTTAAAAAGAGCTTCAGTCATTTCTGGAGCCACTTAGGTGCTTACTGAAGTTTTGTTGAGAGTTCTTGTGGGATAAAGGTGCCTTAGTATGACTCTTAAGGATTGTTATTACAGAAGTTCAAAACCTCAGGTAACATGCCTTAAAATAAATCAGTTGGGGTCAACCTAAGTTATCCGTGTTTTCTTTCCATTGGATCTTGCATTCTTGGAGATCCTCTGCTAGGGCTGCTTAGTGCTCACAAGTGTTCCTGTGCTGCACGGGGTGTTGGATGAGCAGGGTAACATGTTCTGCAAAGCCCTTGGTAAAAATCCCCCACAGCAGCCCTGTGTGCTCCTGTTGTTAGACTTGAATTCGTCCTGTTTGGTGTAATACTGTGCTCTGACTTTGTGGTTTTGTTCTGCTCACTAGACAAGTTTGCCCTCAGTCATCTTGTTCATGTCCAGTAGATCAGTGCCACGTGAAAGCCATTTGAGTGAAGAAGAGTTTGCTCTATAGGTGCTGTTGGGAAGGGTTTTCCCTGCAGTCTTCATTCAAGAGGTTGCTTTGGTTCATAGGTGAACCTGAATTCACATGCAAAATGAACAGGTTAGTTATACTTGATGTGAGATGGGGACCAACAGGTGCTTAGTCTCCTGTTGAGTATTCCTGCCCTTGTGTCCAGGGATTATTTTATTGCTTTCTTCATCTGAGATCTTGCAAGTGCATCTGCTCATTGCTGTTTTTTTCAGTTGGTTTTAATATAGCTTAGACTGTAAGGAATGCCCTCGCTTTATTAAGGCTTGTGTCTTATCTTTGTTACTTTGAACTAAGCTTTAATTCTTGACATACTAAAAAATAAAGGGGAGATGTCTTCTGTTAAGGGCTGGAAAAACAAATTCAGTCATGGCTGAAAAAACAAAGTGTTTGGGACATGCTGAGTTGGTTTGTGAACTGATACCTGTAGCACTGGAAAAAAAAATCAGGCATTTTTCAGTAACCTTTTTTCTCTGGACTTGTAACTGACACTTAAACAAGAGTACATACTGGCTTGATTTCAAGGAAAATACTGTTAATTGTGTTAACATTGAACTGGACTTAGTGAAAATCTCTGATACAATAAACCTTTAAGTGTAAAGATTTGTGTTTTAAAAGCTGGTTTGTGTTCCCCACTGAACTGTTCTTGGTAATGTCTTGAAATGAAGTGTTGTGAGACAACTAAGAAAAGGAGAATGCTGTTCACTTAGACATATTTCATTGTTCATTCAGGGCCTTCTAGAGCAAACTCGACAAATGTCCCTGATGTTTTGATTTCCTCTTGTACTTAAGATTCTTGTGTAACATGTTCTTTTTAGTTTGTTCCTTGTGACTGTAAAAGATGTAACAGAAGTAAACCACATGTGTGCCTTCCTCAGGGCATCCAAGGGCAGGTGACTGCATGGAAAGTGGAACAGGAGTTTAAGACCTTGAGTGCAATTCCAGCGTTTGGGTGAGAGACTCTGAACCTTGTTAGAGCACAAGTCCCCTTTCCTTATTGTAACATGTCTTGGAGCAAATGCGGAGTGTGTTAGCACTGTTTGCCCAGGGTTCTGACCGCTGAGTTCTGACTTGCTGGATTACAACGGGATGAAATGTTGATGTTATAAACTCAGCATTTTCAAGTAAATAAAATTGACTTTACTGAAAAGTGACAGCTCTTACTGAAAGTGTGTTCTACTGTATTGGCCACAGTTCCAACTCCAAGGTGGTTATTCTTGTGCTTGATTTTCTTTCTGTGACACAGGTCTGTTGTATAAATGGCATATGTGGGCTGTGGCTGAATAGAGTCACCCAGAGGATCTCTTTGGCTTTGGAGGCTTAATGGTTCTCTACTGAAAGCAGCACCTCACTCAGTACTTAACTAATTCCTATCATCTGATGTGAGGTGGCAGCAAGAAGCTGAAAACCACGTGTAATTTTTTGACTGAACACCACCAAGTGCTGGTACTTGGGCAAAATAAGTGTCACCAGGTATGTTTATGTGTGTCTGGGAATGTGATGCAAGGGAGATGCAGGGGTTGGATTTGGAAAACTTTGATCACTGCTGGAAGAGTCCTTGGGATATTCCCTGTGAAGCTGAGAGTGCATTTCAGGCTGGCACTGCTGCAAGGATCACCAGAGAAGAAAACCTGGAACTGGATGGACTACAGCTGCTTCTGTCAGACCTTCTGTACTTACTCTTGTCCCCTGGGAATGGAGAACCAGCGGACATGAGTGACCCCTGGCATGCTGCCCAGAGGGCACATTGGGGGGTGAAATCACCTACTGTGGTATTGGGGATGCACACACCTACTGTGTGTATCCTGTTAAAAGTGTCCTCACAAGCACTACATGTAAACTTGCTGCATATACTAACTTAGGCCTGAGTGTTTGTGAAGAGTAGTAATGTCTTAGGACTTGACATGAATGGAAAATTGGCTTAGGAAAGAATTCCAGTGCTCAGTCTGTTAGAAACAAATGTGACATCGCAAGCTTCTTATGAAAAAGAGAGCAGAAAGCACAGATGAATAGCCAGCACTGAGGCACATAGACGCTTGTCATGTGGAAAACAGGTCCTGGTTTTGGAATGCCTGAAACACTGAATGGTGACAATTGTAAAAAATCGTCTCCTGTGGTCAGCATTTTGGAATGGAAGCTTTGAGTTCAAGTGTGCATTAACCAGCTTGTGTTGTTACATCATTTGTTAACATAAAGTCGAGTGCTTCAGAAACTCAGGCGAGACACATTTTAAGCTATTTCTAAATGCCGAGAAGGATATGTCATAGTACAGTTTGCTGTTGAGTTTTACTCGGTGGCCTTTTGCCATCTTATGTTTGTTCACGCTAATTCTTCGTGAATGAAACTGAGTTAGATTGCCTTTTGCTTCCCTCAACTTAACACTGACATTCAGAGAAGTAGTACAAGACTTGGGGTAACAGTCAATGATGTGGATGGACTGTGTGGAGATGTTGGGAACCTTGCCTGGTACGTCTTTGCCAGTGCTGCCCTGGAGCTGTCTGACAGGCGTTTGCTCCTGTGGAGACTCTGTGTGAGCTGTCTCCTAGCTTGGCTTACTGGGATAAGGCTCTGATTCTGGCCCTCTCATAAACTATTCTGCTGAATGTTTGTAAGGTAACTTGGGCTCTAGATGTGGTACTTCTCCATCAAATCACTTGGGTTCTGTAACCTCCACAGGTAACCCCTTCCCAGCCACTGCAGCCTTGTTCACTGTGCAGAGACTGGGGATAAAAGCAAGTTCAGTTCCATAGCAGCTTCCTTCTGACTTCCAGACTTGCTGCACTCAGGCGTAGTGATGTCTGCAAACGAGGATTTTAGGTATCATGGTATAAGAGGGGGTTTGTGGAGTGTATTGTGCCTGCTGTGTGGATCTTGAGGAAAACCAATTGTCTGTGTGTCAGATAGCCATGGGAACGATCCAGAGCCTTGAACACAGCATGTCTCTGATAAGGCCCTGCTGCAGTAGCTGATGATGAGCTTTGACCACATCACAGCAGAAGAGTGATTTTTCTGGCATGAAGAAACAAGGGTGATGACTATTGGTGTAGTTGTGGTTTGTGTAGTGCTTCGAACAGGGTTTCAGACCACTGCAAGTTTTGTACCACAGCTGTGGAGCCTTGGGACCACTGTGCAGCCTGGGCCTTGAAGTGAAACACAGCTCACTGGAATTGAAAAAGAAATTACGAACGTCAGAACAGGACAAACAAGAAGAGTTGAGCCACCGTGACAGCACTAAACAGCTCATGCCACCAGTTCATGTTTGTTTGGCAATTGATGTTCTGGATTGTTAAGACACCCAGACCTGCGCGGTGATGCGGCTGTTGTGCAGTGCTCCAGATTTATCCAACTCGGCAATTAAATTCAGTTCAAATCAATATTTGTACTCACTGAAAGTACTGCTGATATTACTCTCTAACCTCTCCTGGGCTTCAGTTTCAGGTATTAGTACTGCTTGCTGGATACAGGTTCCCTCTATCAAGATGGTCTTTGGACTTCAGCTTTTCCAGGGAATATTTCCCAAGTAACTTGAAATTATCCACCCATCACTAGAATAGATTATATGTGTGGGCTCTGCCAGCAATTTGCTTTTTCTCTCCAAAATGATTCAGTGGTTTTGTTTTTGTTTTTTTGGTTTGGGGTTTTTTTCAAACCTTGGAAAAATCATGCACACATTTCACTCCTTTTCTGACACGTTTCAACCTTTAGACTAATTATTGAGAAAGAAATGTCAGCAGTAGGTCAGGCAGAAGTGTGGTGTTCTTGAAAATAAAGGTGGTAAGTAGTGTAAATCCATTACAGTACTGAGCAGCTGCTGGCCTGGCTCCGGTCAGAGAACTGGTGCAGATTTAGTTGCAGCCCGTGGGTAATCCTCGGGCTGACATGTGGCAAATTGTTCTGAAATGATGGTGGCAGTATGTTCCCAATTCCAAGGAAGCTTAAAGCTCTTATGCCCCACTCCTGGGCCACCCCCGCAATACCCTAAAATGAGGGACCAGCAGAAGGCATGTAATTATTGCAGTTGTTAGAGGGAATTCATCCTCTTTATAATCCTGTGTCTCGAAAAAGAACATCAGAAAATTTCCTTGAAGATTGGGATCTTCTTATACGATTAAAGATGTTCCACCTGGCTCGCATTTGAGCAAAGAACAATTGTTTGCTACAAGCTGCAAACCTGATTAGAAGTGTGGTAATCTGACCAGCACATTGCAAACAGATGTTACTCACCAGTGTGCAGCATTTCTGTATAAATATGTATCTGAACAGTGTCTGCAGCAGGGCAGCCTGAGAAGATTGCATGAAATCAACATGACACAACACCTCAGTTAGAAAAGCTGTTTGGCCAGAGGATTAAATTACCATTAAGCAGGAAGTTTTCCCTTTTGGGGCATTATTTCTGTGTGTAGTGCTCTTTATTTCATTTGCTAACTTCTTTAGCGGTGAGACAGGGGCAGCTGAAGTGCAGAAAAACAAACTATTCCTGTCGTGGTATAAAACCCAATAGTTCTAGGGGGGATATTTCTGTTGCTTTAGTTTGGGTTTGACACCAGTTTTATCCCTATTCCTGGGGCTAACCTGAAGCCACTGCAGGTGTGAAGGTGCAGGCAGAGAGGGTTTGTTTCTGAGGGTTGGCCAAGTAGTGTTGAAGACGAGTATCTTGGAGTAGTTTCTTCTTGGAGCAGATCTTTCCAACACCTCCACACAGACTGAGGAACAAAGCCAGATATTTGCTCTTTCCTGACAGACAGTGATGGGAGAGCAGTGAGGTCCCACTCTGGAAATACTCCTTGGAACAGAAGTGATTTTTACTCATGTAGCAGGAGCAGTTGTTGCTCACAGCACTATCTGATGTGTGCTACTGGCTTTCCTGGTGACGTGGTCTATGTAGGGTCATACATGGAGTGCTGGTCCTGACACTTTGATAATAGTGAGCTGTTAGTGTAGGTTGTGAGTTTGTGATCACTGATGGGTAATTCCCAGGCTGTACAGTACATAGACATTGATTGCTACTGCTGCTACCATAAACGGGTCACATCCATAACTCTGTCAGAGACGATGGATAAGGAGCAATGTCCTAGGGATTTGGAAACCCTGTTCAGAAACCACTGATGCGCTCAGAGGCACTCATTGCCTTGTGCTACAAGGCTGTTACATCTTGGATAAAGAAATCTTCCTGTAATATTTTCAATGGTCTCTGAATGGAGATACTTTGGATAACGTTTTCTCTTTTGGGGGCACACACTTACAAAATGCACACGTTGGGCTTCCTTTTCCTGCAGCTGCCTCATTGCTGCCAGCACAGGGGCTGGTGTGTGCTGTATCCAGTGCACGGGGGCTTTGCCTCGGTAGAACAAGAGGCCGTAAAAGTGACGAGGACAGATTGCTGGGGAAGGTATTGTAAAAATGAGCAAGTATGCCAAACTTTGAGTGCTCTTGTTAGCTACTCGAGCATCTCCATGCCTCTGCCTCTTGTCAGGGAGGAAGGTGCTCAGCATTTCCTTGAACAGTGGTTCAAGGCTGCAAGTGCACGGAGAAAACACGTGGCTTCACAGATCGCAAGCACGTGGCCTCTGTCTTTGCTGGGGACCCACAACTCCAGCAAGTGGGATTGCTGAATGAGTTGTTCCTGCCTTCATCCCAATTTCTCTAGAGGTGGTAGTTGTTAGACTTGAGTGGAAATCTTAGGCTGCTAATATGGATTCCTAAAAGACTGAGTTGTCTGGATGCCTGACTCCCAAAATCATTAGCAAGAATAACAGTTGTGAATAACAGGTGGGTCTGTTGAGATACTGGAGTGGCTGGTGTGCCAGTGCCAGGACGTGGAGTGTGGGGTGGGAAACTGCTCCAAGTGTTTTGCCATGTGCTGACAAGTCCTGTTTGCTGTACTGGAGAGGTCTGGTACTGAGAGATGGACACTGTGTACCTGAAGTTACGTGGTCAGTGAGTCAGTGGCTGTTGGTAGAGGTTGGGGTGGGTTTTGTCTTGTCAGTGCCTTTTGCAGTTTGTTGTCCAGGAATTGTGTGTGGCAGCATTTAACAAATAATATTTAGATCTTTTGGGAAGCCACGTATACTGTATGAACTATGGTTCAGTTCTTGGCTTAAAAAGAAATCACTTTATAAATTGTTTTCTGTGTATCAAAATAATATGCAAAGGTCCAGTCATTGCTTGGGAGCGTAAACTCTTGGATATATAGAAAGTGTTAGGGGGGCTTGTTTTCTAAGGGTTGTTAACATCTAACCTAGAAATATTTCCTTTTAAATCTATTTGCATTTATACTAACATTACTGTTTCAGGAACTATTGGAAACAGCAGGATTTGGAGGCTGGGGGGTTATAGTGCAATGTGAAGGCTGTACCTTTGGGAAATCTCAAGTAAGCAGCAAAATAATCCAGATTCTAATTTAGTGGGTAAAGCAAATATGTAGTGTTTAAAATTACAGTAGATAAGAAGCAATCTGACACCAGAAGCAAAGAATAAACAGCTCAAAGCCCTAATCACCTGATGTTTTCAGTCATTCTGGTCATCTTGTTTTTAAATCCATACATAAACTGTATTGCTGCCGAATTTTGCTTATTTCAAGTGTAATTACAAAGGAGCAAAGTAGTTGGTGGATGAGGAAATTGGATGTTAATTCCCTTTGAAAAAGGAAAAACTGCTTCTGTAAAACGTTGTTTTCTGGTCTAAACTAAAGTATAGAAAGAAAAGAATCTGACTTGGCCTGAAAGTTGCATGCTAATTTCTTTGTGAAGGGAAGAATTAGCTGAGATTATTTTGTATATGGCAAGAAGAAGAGTGTTATGGGCTGGATTCTGGCTGAAGATCTTTTTTGTAGAAATAACTGGTTCCCACAGCCATCCCCAGCTTTCTCAATCCTGTTAACACGTGGAGTCCAGTTAAATTCCAGTACTTGTATAACAAAGCCACAAGTGGAAGGTGTTGGTTTTGGTGGGAGGGTCAGCAGTGCTGTGGGTAGAGCTCATGAATAACTGTGTGGCAGGAGCAGCCCCTGTCCCAGCTGGTGTCAAACACTGGAGATGTGAGGAGCTTGTCCCCGGAGCCAGGGTGCCTCTGGGGGCCTCCCTGGGCAGGACTGCACACATCTTGGGAGTGGCTCTGTGCCTGCCAGGAGGGGAATTCTCATCACTGTCATTAGTGTTACATGGTCAGTTATGCTCTTTAAAGCAGCATGGTCCAGGGTGATCTGCGTCTGAGAGAAAAGGGCATCTTAAGAGCAAACATACCTTCCCCAGCTGAGACTGCGTTGCTTTTCCTCCTACTCCTTCTTTGCAATAGAAATCCAGCGCTCCTGCAAACATCTCTGCACAGCCTGCGGCTCTGGCACAGGGACACGCTTGGTCTGCTGAGTGATGAGACCTGGGCCGGGGCACTGGGCAGCCTCTCCTGCTCTGCCTGTTCTTGCCATCTCTCTTCTTTACTGCTGCAAATTTTCTGCTGCTCCCAGAATTCCCAAGGCAACCACCCCACGATTGATTCATCAATGAATTGTTCTTTTAGCTCTAGTTGTCAGTGAATAGTGGGGAAGAAACTGTCAGAGTAAAATGAATACCTAAACATCCTTGCTATAGAGAAGCTGAGCTGATGAATCCTATTTAGACACAAAGTGGGAAGCACTGCTTTCAAACTCCAGGGATAGCAAGAGATTTTTGTGCCTCGTTTACTACACTGGAAGTTAGAATGATTAGAGCATGTTCTCATGACCAGAGCTTGTAAGAGCAGAATTGTCAAAGCAGAAGCACTACCAGAAATAAGTCTGATTAGAAAAAAAGAGAAAAACATTACTTTTTCCAACCTGCTGGCTCGTGTTTCCCTGGAGAGGAGCAGCTGCACAATGAGTGTGTAGGAAAAGATATCTCAGGAGCTCATCCATGTCCTTTGGTCCTTCCTCCATGCCCCAAAAATACTACTCTTGTATTTCCAGGCACCTTGTGCTCTAGGAGTACAAACTGGCAACTCTGACTATTGATTTTGTGAGTGTTGTTTGAAATAATACATCTGGTTTTAGCTCAGTCCCCTCAGTAAGTACAGGATGTATGTCTTTGTATCAGCTCCTGCCATGTGTAGCTGTGGAGTGTGTGGAGTAAGTGACTTCGGTTTAAGTTCTTTTTTTATTTTTTTTTATTTTTTTCTTTTTTCTTTGGACCTGCAGATTCCCCTGGAAAACAAGTGGATAACTCAGCCAGCAATCAAGGAAATAACCTAGGGACCCCAACCAAAGCTGGAAAACTGAGTCATGTATTTAGAGATCCCCGCCCAGGGAGGAAGAGTGCAGAGGGACACGTGACAAAAGGTGGTGATGAGTCAGAGAGTGATTTTGAATCTGACCCTCCTTCTCCCAAGAGCAGCGAGGAAGAAGAAGAACAGGAAGATGAAGAAGTCTTGCAAGGGGAGAATGGAGACTTCAATGATGACAATGATACAGAACCAGAGAATTTAGGCCACCGCCCTCTCCTCATGGACTCTGAGGAAGAAGAGGAGGAAGAGAAGCAGAGCTCTGACTCGGATTCTGACCGTACCAAGCAAAAATCAGTGGAAGGGCTCCTGAGCAGTAGGTTCAGAGACTGTGTGGGCAGTGGTGAAATCCAGGAACCCAGTTCAATGCACACATCCTCATCTGAGGTGCCAAGCACTGTGATTAACCCTGGCCAAGAATTCGATGTGTTCGGGGCTGTGCCCTTTTTCACCCTGCGGCCTCAGGCAAGAGAGAAGATGGATAAAGATGTTTCTTCTCAGACAGCTTTTCCCAGCCTGGCTCAGGAACAGGATGACTTGGATGTTTTCACAAAAGCCCCCTTCAGCAAAAAAGTGCCCCAGCAAGATGGGCAGGTGTTGGGAACGGAGCCTCTGCTCTCCCCCACGTCTCCACGGAGTGTGGATATCTTTGGCTGCACCCCATTCCAGCCGTCCCTTCTCCCCAAGTCTGCTGGGAACAGAGAGGACCTGTTTGGGCTGGTTCCTTTTGAGGAGATCACAGGGAGCCAGCAGCAGCAGAAGGTGAAGCAGCAGCGGAACCTGCAGAAACTGTCTTCCCGACAGAGGCGCATGAAGCAGGAGGTGTCCAAGAGCAATGGGAAGCGCCACCACGGCACCCCCACCACCGCAAAGAAGGGGCTGAAGCCGAGTTACCGCACCCCAGAGCGAGCCCGCCGGCACAAGAAGGCAGGACGCAGGGACTCCCAGAGCAGCAACGAGTTCCTCACCATCTCAGACTCCAAGGAAAACATCAGCGTGGCCTTGACCGACAGCAGGGACCGAACCAACCCTCTGCAGACAGATGAGAGTTTGCTGGATCCCTTTGGAGCCAAGCCCTTCCACCCCCCGGAGCTGCTGCGGCACCCCCAGCACCAGGGCTTTGGGGACAGCCGCGGGGACCTCGGCACGGTCGTCGTGGCCGGCAGGCCGAGGCAGAGCTCCCTGCATGGGGCCGTTCATGGTGGGGACGGGCTCAAAACAGACGACTTTGGTGCGGTGCCCTTCACAGAGCTGGTTGTGCAGAGTGCACAGAGCCAGCAGCAGGCACTGGATTTAGATCCCTTCGGAGCAGCTCCGTTTCCTTCCAAACAGTAAGGGCTTCCCGTGGGTTCCCCCCCATCCTCTCCAAGTCCCTTAATAAAGGTTTAGTGGAGTAATTTATGTGGTTGAAGTGACAGGGACCTTGATTGTGCAGCTTGTTCAGGTTCAGGAGGGCATGGCCCGCTTGCACAGTGGAATTGTGAATGATGGCTAATTCTGATTGGAGTTTTTGTTGGGTTTTTGGTGTTTTTTTTGCTTTGATTTGGTGCAGTGGTTTTTGTTGTTTGTTTGTTTTTGATAGAAAAAACAAACTAGGAGGGCCATTTTGTTATGGCAGATGGTCCCGGAATGGAAGGAGGAATTGGATATGATTCACTGTCACTGTCTTGGTGGCTGTGGGACATACTGTCATTCTGCACTTCAGTGTTGCCTTTCCGGCCCTCTGCAATGTGCTGAGGTGGAGGGGAACAGGCAGGGAGCACATGGAAAATGTTTTCCATACATACAGGGGGGTAACGAACTGCAGTGGTTCTTTGTGTCTCAGTCGCAGCAGACCTAAGAACCAAGGCATACTAATATCCAGATTATCTGCTGGAAATAATCTTTGCTTCCTAGGTGAAAACTACATTTATTAATCATAAAAGATAAAACAGCCACGTCCTCAAGGGGCTGTGGGTCAGAATTCCAGAGCACAACTATGGCTTGGGACCTAGCAGACATCTATGCAGCTGCAGAGATGAAAGGCACGTTATTTTTTTGTGTGCCTAAATGGTCAATTTTTTTTTTTTTTTTACAGTAAGTGCCATTAATGTAAAATAGCAAACTGGAAATTTAGAGTCAAAACTAAAGATACAGAAAATATACTCATTTCTGAGAAGCCTGAATGTAGGAGAGTGAGCCAGCAGGGACACAGTCAGTGTTTGCAGCACTTGGGAGACTCCTCAGCACACTGGAAGAGGGGCTGGTTTATCCTTGAGCACATATAGAGTGTTTAGTTGACTTGCACAGTGGACTGTGAGGTGACTGTGATTTGACTACAAATTGGGATTGGTGTCTGAAAATACCTTTTCCTCTTGGATTTTTATTGCAAAGAAAACATGTATTCTCTGAAGGCTCTTGTTTTGTACAATAATAGTTTTATGAAATGACTGTAACCTAATTAATGCTCTTGTAAGTTTTGCTGAATGCACTGAGGTTTGGAGAAGCTTCCCTGCTCCCAGCTGTGTTCCAGCCGAGCAGGAACTGGTGGCTGCTGGACCAGTGAGCTGCTTTCACACCACGGAGCCTTATGAGCAGGACCCTGGTTGTGCTGCCCAGGACCTCGGGGGCGTGAGGGGCACCAGGAGCGTGCGGTGCCAGCAGGTGGTGGGGAGGAGCTGTGAGCACTGCTGAGGCCAGGGTTTCATTCCTGTTTTGAAGAAGCTCGTGCTGAGCCATGGACACTGTCTAGAGCCAGCACCCCTTGGGACAGCCCAGTCTGTCTGCCTGCCTGGGTTCCATGGCCATCCTCAAGGACATGGAAAGGAGGTAGTTTTTTGGCAAGTCTCACCTTGATATCCTGCTCAGCTGAATGCTGATGATTCGATAATGGATGTTCGTATGAGGAGGATGGCAGCGTTTGGTTGGGTGTCCTCATGTCTCCCCCTGTCACAAGAGGTAAAGTGAAATATTCAGGGTTGTGCTTTTTTTTCCCCAAAGCCTCCTGCTGGTTATATATATATATATCTCTGAGATCTGTGAAGGGGGTATGGATCCCTTATGATATTTGCTCAAAACACATTGAAAACAAATCAGTTGACTCCTTTGGGGTTGGTTTGATCAAGTGCTCCCTTGGGTGTATGTGAGAGAGCTTCCCCTCACCCTGGTATGTGAAAGAAGCTCATAGCTATCCATACACCATCACTACCTTCATCTTCCTCGGTTTCATTTTTCTCACAGGCTGCAAGTGGAATATTCCAGCTGAGCGTGGTTCAGTGTGCCTTTTCCAGGCTTAGAAATTAAGCTCATAGGAGGTTGTGAGTAGAAGTGTTTCAACTTTATTTGCACAGGAGTTTCCTAGACTTTTATTACTGCTCTTCTCACCTGTTTCTTTGGTGCCAAAGGCTGTAAGAAGCACACGCCAAGTTTTGTAGCATTTTCTGATACTCAGGTTAACTGTCTTTTTCCTTTTTTTTTTTTTTTTTTTCCTCTGCATGTGCTTATGAGCTTCCTTCCCTGGTTTCCCTCAGAGCTGTTACTCACCTGTCTGAAGAGCTCTTGGAACAGAGTGAGATGACAGATGGGGCAGGGGGTGGAAACAAAACGAAAGGAAAACAGCAGAGAGTAAAACCATGGTCCTAAATGTGGCTGGTCTCGCCAAAGCCACACGGCTGCTGCCTTCCCAGTGGGAAAGCGATGGGAAGGGTTAACCATGCACATGGCACTGGGGCTTGGCTCCAGGGCCAGGGAGGAGAGGTGGTGGCTGTTGGACACAGAGGGAGAAGGTTGTGCAGACCTGGTGTGGGCAGAAGCGTTCAGGTAAACTAAGAACAGAAGGAAAAATGTTTGCTTTTTATCAATTTGCCCTGAGACTCCAGGCTGAGGAGTGCTGCAGGTTTTCCTCGTGTGGCGGGTTGGTTGGATTTTGGCAGAGGGTCTGTACGTGGTTAAATTGCAGCACAGCAAAGCTGAAGTGAGGTTGAGCACAAACTGAGATGACGCAAAGGCAAACTGTAAATCCCAGTTTCTCTAAAGCTGGCGTAACACTTCTAGTGCACGTGAGTTATGGTCCGTGACATTTGCTTTCTAGTGGCCTTAACAAACCTGGTTCTTTGCACTCAAGATATCACACAGGTTTTTGTATAAATGTAATTCTTTTGTTTCTAGAGTTGAAGTTACATTATCCTTTCTTATGACTGAAGAGAGATTAGTGCCCCCACTAAGCTGCCTTTGTGCAGTGTATGTTGTTTACACACAAACAAACCCAAGCTGGGGTTTAATTTCAGCCATGATCCACTATTCAAAGTTGGAATGTGGGACTGTCAGGGAACAGGATATCCTTTGCCTTTTTTGGAGTGTATGCTCACCATGGAGCACATTGTGACCTTACTGAAACACAAGGAAGCCCTTGCTGCAGTAGGCATGTACCATGCTGCCCAGGAAGGCAACAGTGACAAGGTAAGGGGCTGACATTTCCATTCTGGCTAAAAATCCCCATGGATTTTTACAGCTTCTCCTTCAGCATGCTGAAGGACTGAAGCACAGGCCTTCTAGGATCAACTGCTGGGGAGAGAGTCTGTACCAAGGTACTAAGAAACCCTTACTGGTTGTGGTCACTGAAAGGGAAGCCTGGTAGTTGTGCTTGCCTGTGGACTGAAGGGCCTCGAGGTGTGTAGTGAACTGCTCTGGCTGCCCTGTGTGTGTGTGGGCCCCGTGAACACCAGCATTGGAGCAAATATCTTCTAATCACTCTGGGTGTCCCAGTTAGTAAAACCAAGTACTGTGAAAATAAGTTGATGTATTTGCTACTGTGAGAATAAGAGTTTATCTGGAGTTTTTTATCCTATATCGTGTATTTTTACATAAGAGAAGTCTATATAAAATATACACACGCTCACACACATCACATACCCGGTGGAGTTGCTGTGGTTTGGGTAACCCAGCAGGCACAATCACGTTTGTGACTTGGAGTGAATATGTGTGAAACCTGCGAGGGAAAAACAAGTGCCAAGGGTGGCTGCTGTGCTACTGTCCTGTAGTGCTTATTTTGAAAGGAAATCAAGGAGGTTGTGTGTATGGCTTAAGTGGTGACTGAAAAATCACCTAGTACTAAAGAGCATAAAAACTACTTTAAAATTGCTGGCCTTCAGCTTTTAAGTGCACTTTCCTGAAATACACCTCCATTCTCATTAGACTTCAAGTTTCTAAAGCTTTTTTGTGTACCACTAAACAGAGAACTTTTAACTTTTTGGTGAAGCTGATATATGTCATAAAATCCTTGGAGTTGTTAAATAAACAAAAGTGGTAACAGTGCCTTTGCAGGTCTCCTTGAACTCTGCATTGTGAGGTATTTGTGTTTTAGGCTTTGATTTACTCATTATAAGCAGTGCTGTTTCTGCTGAGTGATTTTGTGGTGTCACTGTCTTTAAAGTGTTTTAAAATACTTGTATTTGCTGCCCAATCGCCTTGCTTTGTCTAACTGGTTAAAAACCTGCGGATCACGTGCTATTTTGAATTCCTTAGGTTCAGTGTTACTCTTTAAAGCCTTCCTGCAGACAGGCTGTGTGTGGCTCCCAGTGCCACTGCGGTGGACTTGGCTCTGCACTTCTAGACAGAACTCTGTGGTTTGACCCCCTTCTAGCATTTGTTTACTAGAGCAGGTTTTTTGAATGCTGCTTGTACTGATTTTACTCAGTTGAGCTGAAGTAAGAATGGAAATGGTCAAGAACAGATGAAGCAGCCAGCAGGACTTGGTGAGTAAACAGGAGTGACAGTAGGTTGTAAAGCTGAGTTTATCAGCAGATTCGTCTCGAGATGCTCCCCCAAAATCCCAGAGACAGTCTCCCTGTCTAGTAACCCCCAAGACATGGCACAAGTTCCATGGCTGAGCCACTCACAATTTCTTGTTTCACTATGTGAGATGCACAAGTGATGTTACTCCAAGGAAACCGCCAGTGACCTGGACTTTATTTACAAGTTCATTATGCACATAGAAGACTGTCATGCAGCTTGATAAATTTTGTCAGGGTAGTAAAAATGCACAGCTTGGCAGTCAGTTTCCTTATCCAGTGAAAACTGATAAGAGTAGTTAAGAGTTTCCATAAAAAAAATACATTAGTAAACTATAAAATCAGTATGATTTCAGAGCACAGACATATTCTTCAGGTATTATTGTACACATAACACTTCTATACTTGCAGGTTCCCTGTCAGGCTTCAGTAGTAGTAATTAGTGCACTTGAAACTTGCTTGGTTGTCAAGTTAAAAAATATAAAATCAGTGTTTACACTGGAAGGCTTAAGGTCCGGGAGCTGAACTGCAAATGTGGAGTCAGTTCTTGCCAATACTTGTTTCTGGGGTTAAAAAAAACAAAACAGTAACCAAGCACCAAAACAGCCCTCTGACCTGAACAGAAGCATCCCTGGCCAGCACACTGGGAGGAGCTTGTGTCCTGCCTTCTCCATCCGCAGGGATTGTTCAGGTGCCTGCCCGTGAGCTTGCACTGCTACTCCATGTGTTCTTGGCACACCCTGACCAGAAAGGCTGAGGAGCAGGGCTCATTTAGCCCAGGCAGAGGGAGCTTTGGGGGATTCACAGAGACTGCCCACCCTGAGGAGGGCCCCACACAGTGCCAGCATGTCCCCTCCAACTATGGGAACAGAGCCACTTGGGATTAGTCCTAATGGCATCGTGGTGCATGCGAAGCAGCCTCCAAATGGATAATGCTGACGCTTGGGCACGTGCAGCAGCAGGTACTGCTGCCTGACTGAACTGTCAACACAGGCACAGCTGCTATATACAAATCACTTAAAAATGTTGCCTCTAGCCCAAAAATCCAAAGGATTTCAATCCTGTTGGAAAGACTGGCACCCCTGGAGGTTAATCTTGCTGAGCTACAGCTACCCAATAACTTGTGCATTGCATGGCTCCTGGGTGTTGAATTTAGAAGTGATGGTTCCGCAGCAGATCCTGAAACTTCAGGAAGCCTTTTCACTGTGGCAGGATTATGGCAGCAAGTCCTTTTGGTTAATAGTGTCTGCCAGTGCAGTATAACCTTTCATACATGGACAGGCCAAAGGTCAGGGATTTGCATCCCCAGCAGGTTCACTACTCAGGCAAGTCCACTGACTGCAAGACAGCAACAAACATGGGCACACAGGCTTGGTGCCTCTCCGGGAACACTTCACAATACTGAAGGGATCTAGAGAAACTTCAAGCGATGGCACTGCCCCTATTGAAGGCAATTTCTAAGATCTGCAATGAAGATCTAGGTGTGCTGGATGGGATCTTAACTTCCAGGAAAATGGAAAGAGCTTGCCCAGAAGAGAACACAAGTCCACTGAATTCCAGGTTACATGTTCCTGTGCCAACGCTGAAGCACAAGAACACCTTTCGGGCCAAGGCTGAAGGATGCACAGACCACAGGGCTGTGCTTCAGATGCAGGACTGGGTCCCAGAGTTCCCACGGTTTAACAGGCACACTGTCAGGAGCATCCTCCTAATTATGCACTTGAACATTACCCGAAACCCTGGTGTCCAGACCTGTTGGCTCAGCCAAGGGTATTCACTTCTGCTGTTTGTCTCTGCCAGGCAACAAAAAGTCCTGCTGGGATGTGCATGCTGAGTTAGACAGCCCAGCTTCCCACTGTCCCGCTTGAGGAAGACCTGTTTGGTACTTGATTGCGGAACAGGAAGTGGCTGAGAAGGAAACGTCTCCCAGATCCCAGGCTATGCTATCGGGTTTATCAAAGCTCATGGTAATGCTCTGTCCCAGCAAGAGGGTAACAGTCCAGGAGTCAGGAAAGGAACTACCTCAGTGCTTCAGTCCATAGCACAGCTGTGAGGTCCAGACCCTCAGAGTCAGAAATCCCACCATGGTGCCTCTGAAATAGAGCAGGGAAACAAGGTGAATCACTTCCTGGGCACATGAAATCAGCAACTCATCTGATTTCCACAAAAAGCCTTTTCCAGGAAAAAGGGGACAAAGAGTAATGATAGCTTGAGGCTATTAAAATTGTGACACAGAGATAGAGGGCATCTGGCAGAGCTTAGTTCAGCCTGCTTTAGAACTGTTCAAGGGCCCAGCAGCTCCACAGAGCCTCATCCAGTGCAACAGAGCGCCTGGCATCAGATCCCTGCTTTCTCTTTACAGGAAGCATTGCACCTGCTCTGGGGAAGTGAGATGGGGTTAAACCCAGGATGGTTTCAGCCTGTGGCTGTTAGACTATCCCACTGCCCAAGGCTGTACCTTTGTTCACAAGTCCATGCAGGGCTTGCTGTGTCGGTATTGCATGATGTACACCGTGGACTGGTGCCACCAGTACAGCATCACCACTGCCAGGATGTGCCACACCTGGTGGCTCGAGCCGAGGTAGTTCAGCTGGCCTGTGGGCAACAAGGGTTAGGGGTTAAGCTGTGAAATTCAGCCACAGCGAGTGCAGTGCAATTAGTAATCAGCCTCCTGCATAGCTCCAGCACACCCTGCATTTGGGGGGAGGCAGGGAAAGTTCTGTAACAAACTCCTTGGAAGTTGTCTGCCTCTTCTGATGCAAACACGTGCACCATTTTACTCTGCGTGGGAATGTGCTCAGCCTGTTCTCTCCCAGGAAGTTCACCCACAGCAAGGACTGTGACACTGCAGGGAAAAAAAAACCACCCAGAAGAAAGTCTCCTACCTGGGAAGTATCTTTCTGGAACTTTGGAAATATAGAAGAGAAAAGCTACAGCAGCGATGAAGTACATGACAACTACCCGCGGAGCAAACTCCTGCAAAAGAAAAGGAAGCTCTCCTATTCTGTTAGAAAGCAAAACCAGAAAAAGAAGTCCCTGAATATAAAGAAGAAAACAAACAGTATGAAAACCCTGAATCTTCCTTCACTGCAGTGTGTCAGCTACAGGCAAATCCAACAGGGAAACAAATGGCCAACTCTGAGAAAGCCTGAATGGGAATAAACTTGTTTTATTCCGACCTTTCTGCTTCTACATGCAAGGTACTCAGTGTTCCTGTGCAGCCTGCAGCAGACACGGCACTTGTCAGTGAAAGGACATCTGCCACCACCCTGACCCCACACAGAACAGCCAGGGTGAGGCAGACTGCACTGCACATCCCACTTACCCACTGGAACTGCAGCTGCTGCACCCGAAGCCACAGGACTGCTCACACTGCAACCCAGGCATCAGGTGGGTTTTCCTTAGCAGAAAGTTTTATTACCTAAGTGGTGCATTTTTCTGAAGAATGGAAACACAATGTGTACCACAGACATCATCCTGCTATCGCAGGGGAAACAAAGCAGGGAAGACATGGGAAGACAGCTGCTGTGGAATCTGATTTTTAGAATGCTGGTGTCAAATGCCTTTTCTGAAGGCCACATGTGTATTCCCGAACTGTGCTCTGCCACATTCCACAGCAGCTCTGGACTTGAGTAAGCCATCACCCCAGGGACCACCCTCCATCCAGGCCAGCCTAAGAACATGCAGTTTCTGCTTGCTATGAAGAGGAAATGTTTCCTTCGGTACCATCAGGTCCCTGAGTAACAGCAGTGATTTCAGGGGGTCTCATACTGGGGCACACTGCGCTGCCTTTAGCTGTACTGGGCCTCTGGTTTCACAGGGTTATTCCAAGTGGAGAAAGGTGAACAGGGCAAGAGTTCCATCAATGTCACAGCGCTATTAGAAGAGGATCGCGCAAGAGGGAGAGGGCTGAGCAGGCAAATGCTGATTACTGCTGCCAACCCAGGGAATAGAAGAGGAAGCAAATAATCACCCCATCAGTGTCTCCTGGTTGCCCTGTGGAGCTGTGGAGGCAGCCAGCCCTGAGCACTTGTGCAGCCTGACAGACTGCTTCCTGCTCTACAGCCACCGCAGCTCCTGGCCCTGGCCCTGGCCCTGGCCCGGGGAGCGAGGGTGCGGTCTGCCTCCCTCCGCTGCTCTGTCCCCGGGCAGGGACACACCTCCATCCAGCTTTGCTTCTCACCGTGCAGCTCTAGGGCAGTACAGCAGGCTGAACCTATACAACCTGTCTACCCCGATCACATTTCTAAGTGTTTGCATTTGGATTGTACCGACCAAAAGAAATCCGTACTAAAGGAATTTGAACTCAAGCTGCTTCCCCGTCGCTTCCCTGAGTGTAGGAGGACTCAAGGAAGATGGCAAGTGAAAAGCAAAAGGGAATCTTATTTCATTCTTTTTTCTTACCTGTACAATGGATGCACCAATGCCACCGTTGAGCCAAACCCAGTGGATGGTGGGAATGATTCCATAGCCAGACACAGAGCAGAAGATGACGGAGCGCAGCCTGTGCCACTGCTGTGTGAGGTAACTAGGATGGATCTGAGCAAAAAAGACTGCCAATATCATGGCCAGCACAGTGATCAAATATACCTGGCGCCAGTACTGAGGGAAAGAGAAACAAAGGCAAGTCTGTGGGTTTCTTATCCTGTGTAAGAGTCAACTCTGGGCAGGAGGTTTCAATGACAGAACACAGCTCCACGGTGGGTGTGAGTGCAGGGACTTGTGTTGGTCAGCTGGCAGTGAGGGGAAGGGACTCTATTGCTTGGGGCACCTATAACACATCCCTTATTCTAAGCAGTGCCTGCACCCAAACACTGTCAATGCACCTCTGCCCCAGCAGTCCAGTTCAGCTCCCTGACAGCGTATACATGGCAGGCCTTGGAAGGGAACTCATTTCACTCCTCTATTAAGTGGAGAGGAAACAAGCTTGTTTCTGCCTCCTGGCAGCTACCTCATGGGCAATGCTGTGTGAAGTGCCTGTGGTGGGACACATCCCATGATCAGCCTCAGGCACTGGACACAGGTAGGACCTGTAAAGTTTGCCTGCTTTCAGAGAAATTTAAATATTTTCTTGAGGCTTTGTGCAGCTGACATCTAGAAAGGAAAATCTGCATTTGTCTGTCCCTTCAGCCAGCACAGTTCTGCTGGGGCCAGGGGGACATGCTCCAGTTCCCATCCCTCTCTCCCCATTCCTGTTCTGCTTGGACACCTGCCACAAACCCCTTTTCTACAGGACCACGGGAACTAAGCACTGCATGGAAAATGCTCCCAACTCACGTTACTGCAGTAGAAGGCATAGAACACGCCTGACACGTAGCAGCCCAGGATCCCAATGGAAATTCCTGCATAATCCAGTGCCATCCATCGCCGGCTGGTCTTCTCCGAGCGGTGACAGCAGAACAGGTGATATCCTACTGAGCAAAGCATACAGACCTACACAGAGGTTCAAATGAGGATGATTAATTCCTTGATGAAAACCAAGAGGGAGCACACAAGCTTCAGCCCTGCAGCTCAAGCCGGCCGCTGGGCCCCGGCACATTGAGCGTGTGTTTGCTCCTAGGCTGGCGTCAAATTCTGTCCTCAAGAAATGTTTGTTCCTCTGTGACCCCGTGGCAGGAGGAGGGAGGAGCACAAGAGCAGTGCTTTTCCAGCCAGTGAGGGAGTATTCCCCACTTCTGGCTGTACCCAGCCATCCTGTGCTGGAAGAGAACACACGGAGTGCCCTTCAGCTCTGTGCTCTTGCAGGGCCAGTGTCCATCACAGGAGACTCAGCAGCCACGTGTGACACACCTGAAGTCTGCTATCGGAACAGATGTATCTGACACAGGAGCCCACAGTCAGACCAGCTCAGAAGTAAGAACTGCTGCCAGCCCTCCTGCCCTTCCTGACCATCAGGCCACGGCTGATGCCCGTGCTCCGGTGGGAGGCCCTTTCCAGTAGCACCGGATGCTGTCTGGGAGCCATGTCAGACACCTCTCAAGCTGCTGAAGCTGAGACCCAGCCTGGACACGGCCCTTGTTTTCGCACAGGCTCTCTCCTGTGCCAGCTGTGTTCAGTCCTGCACAGTTTACTGCAGGGAAATGCGACCGACCCACCGAGGCTTGTCCCTTGCGGAGCAGTGCGGCTCAAACGGCGCTGTGCCCGCACCGTGTGAGGGGCTTTAACCCCCGGGGCGCTCCCGGCCCGCGCCTACCTGGAAGCAGAAGAGGCAGACAGAGCAGATGACGAAGTCTTCGCGGGAGGCGCCGGCGGCAGGCAGCACGGCCGTCAGGTCGTAGATGCCCAGCGTGAAGAAGAGCAGGAAGCCGAGCAGGTGACTCCAGATGTTGACGGTCTCGTTGGAGAGGATGAAGAGGCTGCGAGGAGACACAACGCGGGACAGGCGGTGAGCGGGGCCCGGGGGATCGGGGGGGCGCGGGGCGCGCTCACCTCTTGATGCAGAGGCGGGAGGGCAGGTAGGCGCGGTATCCGTCGGTGATGTAGGGGTTGTCCTTCAGGAACACCGGGATCTGCTCGTACGTGTACAGCCGGATGCCGCGGGGCACCAGCACCGGCCAGTACTGGTAGCTGCCCAGCTCGATGTAGTGCGCGCTGCGCAGCAGCTTCTGGTGCATCCTGCCCGCTGCCGCACCGGCCCGGCCCGCGCCCCCTCACGGGCCGGGCAGCGGGACCGCCATCATCGGCCGCGATGGCGTCACCGCGCGGCGCCAAACGATGGCGTCACCGCGCGCGGCCCCTCCTCGCGCGGCCCCACAGCGGCCGCGAGGGGGCGCCCGAGAGCCGCCGGCACAGCCTGGGGCCGCTCTGACCGCCGGGATCCGCCGGGATCCCCCCGGAATGTCAGAGCTGAGCCTTTGGGCCAGTCAGCCGTTCCCCTCAGGCCCGAGGCTGCACACCTTTGTGAGGAGAGACCAGGAATGCACCTGCCAGGTGAAACAATGCTGAGGGTTGTCATTCCCTGTGGGAGTTGCACTTGAAGCGTGCAAGAGCAAGCTCTGGTTAAGTGAGATCGTGATTATTGGCTTTTAGGGGTTTTCCCTATGTACTCCATGGGGTACCAGAAAAGTTTTTGTCATGAGGACGACTCGCACAAGGGGTTTGTGTTACCTCAATAAGAACAGTTGAGGGTTATTTGCCAGTTCCTTTTAATATTTTTTTTCCTTATTTAAAAAAATAAAGGGCTGGGGGGAAAGAAGTAATTCCCTAGGTGTACTATGGCTCTTGGTTTCGAAGTTGCAAACAAGTGTGCCCCACAGGGTAATTAATGGTGGTTCACCTGCCCCTCCCCACAGGTCCTGTGCCCTGCAGAACTCTGCCAATGTTTTTTGTCTCATTAAACCACGTGGTGTGACAGATGTGAAGAATTTCCCCACGGCAGAGGTGTGTAATGTGAAGTAAAAGGTAAGAATGATGGGGGTTTAATGTCCAGACTGACAGGAATTGATCCTGTTTTGTCCAACATAGTGTACTTTGCAGTTAAAATCTCTGAACCAGAGTAGTGAAGCCAAGCTAACAGTAATGATCCCTATACGGTGACTATCGTTTTCCAGGAAAGCGTCGCACTGGCTTTTCTCTGTGCAATGCTCGCTTAGAGAATGAGGGAGGTGATAGATGTTTTTGCGGAGAAGTGTTTTTGCAAGAATAAGAATACAGTTGCCACATTAATTTGGTAACCTCTCTCTGCTGTGGAAAAACTGAGTGCATTCTTGCCGGCTCCCACGGACACACCAAGAGAGAACTTGTTCGCTCCAGCGGTGACTCACTTTCCTCAAGCCAAATGGTGCGCATAAAGTTGCTACCAAGTTATAAATCTTAATTAGTCTTAATTGTCCCTTGACTCATTAGCTCCCTGAGAACACTATACCTGGAAAGAGCACTTTGTTTCCAGGCCCGTGCAATTTAAATCAATCCCAAGCACTTCAAAGGGTTCAGGCAGAAGCAATCAGATCTGACAGCACTTTTTTTTTTCCTAAAGAAGTTTTAATTGGCTGTTAAGTTAAAGCTTTGAAGCTTTGATGGGAGAAGTGTTATAGGTCAAATTAATAGGGAAAATTGAGAAACAATTAGGGCAGCTTTAAATGAATTACTTCCACTATTTATTTTCAGTTTATTGACCAATTGTGTTGTATGTGTTCGGGATTCAAATTAGCCATCTGTGCGAGATAGCTTTGACCTAAATTGACCTCTCAGGTAAGTAAGTAACTTGTCCTAATTCCTACACCGGACCCGAATTTTACTGGCAAATAAGCTTAACTGGGGGTAAAGATGAATGTGCCTGAGAGGTTCCATACTTTTCTGTTGGGGCTGAAGTGAGCTGTGCAGGCAGAGGTAGGGAAGGCTTTCGCGGGGGTGGCTGAGGAGGTCACACGTGAGCAGAACTGCCTGTTAACCCTACCTACCTGCTGAGGGACTCCTTTAGGCCAGGTAGCTCGGCGGCAGCTGCAGGTTGGGGGCGGGATGGGGGCGTGGCTGCAGCCCCCGGCCAGGGGCTGTGACCTGCCCCTTTACCTATGCAGGGCGCGGGGCCCTGCGGCGCCGGACGTGTGACCGCCTGCGCCGAGACACAAGAGCCGGTGACTCAGCAGGAAGCTCCCAGACTCCGGGGGCACACACTGGGAGGGGATAAACGTCCGGGGAATCCTTTGTAGGGGGCCCTGCCCGAGGCACCAGCTGGAGCTGCTACTCTGTCTGCACCACGTTTAAATTACATAAGGAACAAGAAGTGTGGAACTCTGCCACGGGAAATCTGGAGTCGAGCTGGTAAGGAAACTTGATCTGACTGTGTGAGATCCGACAGCATCTGTTTATACGCTGCTCTGGTTTTTCGGGGAGCAACCAGGGGAAGAATAATGATCCAATCCAAATAGCTAGTTTGCTTTTTGCAGAATGTGAGCAAAACCCAAAGCGGTTCAATTTTAAAACTGAAAGAGTGGAAATATTCTCGGTGCTGATTTTTGAGACACTGAAAGTGTTTTTTCCGCCTCTCCTTTCCCTATTTGTAGCAGGCCCGTCTCAACTGTGCTGCAGCGGGTCGGGAGGAGGCGGGGGCAGAGGTGGTCGACAGGAGGGACCCGAGGCAGGCGGCAATGAGGGCACAGCGCTCCCTGCCAGCATCCTGCCGGTTCATCCCCAACTTTCCCTCCAGGTGTCAGCCTGGCTCCGTGCTGCCGCCGGTCCTGCCTCCTCACCTGGACCTGCCTCCTGGCAGCCTCGGGCTGCCTTTTCATCCTCATTCCATAGAACTTGAGGGCGCACCCGGCAGGGCCCGGGCCTTGCAGACACCCACCAGTGCACATCGGGGCGGTGCTGGTGTCCCTCAAGGTTGCTGTGCCTTCGTGTTTGATGCTCTTCTTCTGAAGTACCCAGCAAAACCCCTCCTTCTGAGTTTTGTTTGAGGGCTTTTCATAGGTTCGTTACAAATAAAGAAATGGGAGGTGCCCTGGGACTCCTTTTGCCACTGTTGGAACGCGCTCCTGTGGGAGAACTCGGCTTGTTTAGAGTTTTCCGTATAAGGCAGACTAGTCCGCAGGGATGAAATCTGTTATCAGCCTTAGTAGGGAAAATGCATTTGGGAACGTTGGTGGAAGGTATCCCTGTCTTTCTTTGTATCATGCCCATAGCCATGTCGGTGCATAGGTCAGGGTTTCCTCACCTGTGATAAACACAGCTGTGTTTTCCTTGGGGACAGAGGGAGGAGGGATATTTTGGAATGCTGTGTGCAGCGATGTTTCAATGCAAAGTCTGTGGCTCGAGTACAGGCACTGGTTTACGGGCACAGAGACAGTGTAGCTGCTCATGTGTGTAGAGTGCTCTTGGTTCAGTATCCCTGTGCACAGGGCCACGTGTGCACTGCATGTTTGCTGACATGACACCAGGAAAGGGAGATATTAAAGCCCCTTGTCTTGTACAACACAGAGATTCTGTCTCCAGTTCTTGGAAGTGGCCAAAGCTGCTATGAAATGGCCTCTGGGGTGTTGGCACACAGGGGAGTCATATGTAAGAAAATAAGGTTCATAGCTGTGTGAGAGTCCAAGAGGCTTTGAGAGTGTGTGTGTGTGTGTGTAAGAACAGAAATCCTGGGACACCCCTGATCCACCAGCTCCCTTCAGGAGACAGCATTAGGAGTTCAAGTACCTTGTATTCAATAATGACCTTAATACCGAGGAAGCTTGATTTCAACGCCCTCTTCCCTGAAGGTCTTCCTTCCTCACACTGTCCCTGTTAGGATTTTTGTGACTAAGCTCTCCATGGTTTCCTGCAGCTCCTCAGCTGAGTGCTGAGCAGCTTCCAGGAGCGCCTGAGACACATTGCCTGACATCTGCTGCGGTGGCTCTGGCTCTCTGCTCTCCCTGTGGAGAGATGCCGTGTGCACTGAAGTGACTTGGTTTGGTAGGGCTCTTCCTTTCTTTTTTTTTTTTTTTTTTTTTTTTTTTTTTTAAATTTTTTTTGGTGGGGATGTTTTTGTTTTCTGATTCAATCCCTTTGCCTTTCAACTCCAGCTTCTGAATCTGGGCATCTGTCAGTGGTGCGATAAATTCTCTTTGGTGATAAGAGAACAGCTGCCAATAGCAAGAGCAGGGATGGCACTGGGGCTCTCTCCTGCTGTGCGAGCACTTGCAGTCAGCAGAACCTCCCTGTGCACACAATGGAAAGGGCACCTCTCCTGCCCAGCCCACTGCTCTGCTTCCAATTTAGCAACATCTTTTTCCTCCGTGTTGAGCAGATGCACATGAACAATTGTGCAGTGTAATAGAGTCCTGAACCGAAAGAACTGGAAGTAATTGACAAATGGCTTTTTTCTGGATAGGTTCTGAAGGTGGAAGTAATGGAATTTTTTTGAGAACTTAAGGGATTTTCAGGGAAAGACGGAAGCCGTTTGCAGCGCTGCTTAATCGTGTGGGATGGTGTTTCCTTGTGCAACAGTCTGCTTCCAGTAAAAATGGTAGAGTTAAAAAAACTCCTTCGTGAGGAGTCCTGAATTTTAGGAGCATAGGGTGTGGGTATTTTGTTTTTCATATTTAAAGGTCTCCCTAACTCCAACCTGCCAACAAAATTTTGTCCCACCTTGAATTCATGCTATAACAGAAGGCATTTAGAGACCAACTGTTTTGATTAGAGATGTTCTCTTTCTCTTGTTGTGGTGATTTTAGTTGATGTATTTATAATAAGGGTGATACTCCAGGAATTGCGGACAGCTTTGGTACATAAGCTCATTTCACTTCTGGAGAAGCACATGGGATTTGGACACTGCTAAAAAAGAACCAGACTATTCCTGTAGAAGTGCTAGGCTCCTTCACCCAGTCAGAGTCTGACAGTAGATTTCCCAAAGGGGATCGTGTTTCCAAGACACTTAAAAGTCAAAACAGGCTTTCTGTAAAGTCACCCTGTAGTTGTGGGTTTTGTTGTAAATCCTCACTGTTGCTGACTAGCTGCTGTGGGTAGTTGAATGTGTGTCTATGGTCATGCTTACAACTTCTCATTTGGCTCTGATGAGGATTTCTATGCTGAAATCAACTGGACTCTTCCAAACTTTTAACACACTCTTACATCTGATCTGTGAAGTTCTACTTTAATCCCAAACAAGGCCTGGGTACTGGCACTTGGACTCATCTCACTTTACCTCCTTTTGCCTTGTTTATTCCTCATCTACCAAGATGAGCATGTGCAAATCATGATTTTTTTTTTTTTCCTTCACCCCCCGGCTGTCTTGCTAAATGCCAAAATCTCTGCTAAGTAGCAGTGGCAGAGTTTGAAAATTGGAGATATGAAAATACAGGTTTGCCTTGCCTCTGAAAATGCTTCATAAAGATACAGGAAATGGGAGGAAATTATTATCTTTTTGCTGACTGCACTGTGGATATTTTTGCCTGCCTATCAGGACTGGGATTTTGCCCTTACTACTCTGGTTTGTCTTAGGAGACTTTAGGTTTTCCTCAATTATTTTGATTACTAAAATTGGAATCACATCATCTTTTTGACGCACAGTTCACGTTCCCTCTCTCATCCTCGTGCTCCGTCTGGCTTCTTTAAGTCACGGAGACTCGTAAGTGCCAAGATGCGTGGAGGACGCAGTGTATGGGAAGGGTGAAGTGCTGGGAAGTTGGTGAAGAACCAAGTACAGTGTGTAGCCAAGCCCTCCGATTGTTTTTATTCCATTATTTTGTGATGTCTTTTGTCTATTTTTCGTGATAGTAGTTGCCCCAGTCCCATCTTGATGTTGGCCTGGGAGGTCTGGAATGCTCCTCTTCAGCCACTGTTTGGATTAAAAGCTCTCTGCAGAGAATAGAGGGAAGGAAATCGTAGCCTGCTTTCCTGCCCAATTTTTCCCTTTTTTCTTCGTATTATTTGTCTATTTCATCCATTAATTCTGTATACTTAAGCTAATATGTTAATTTTTAAGT